CTTTGGGACAGTGCAATCCTTTTAATTATTACCTCCAACTCAAAAAAAGTCTGATGTCAAACGGACAACGGGGTCCCTTATGGTGGCCTGTAAGGGTAAGGTGCGGGAGGTCCACAAACCAGGTTAACCGCCGCTTTTGCCTGCTTTTGTCAACCGCCGCTTTTGCTTTTGGGCGGGCGGTCCGTCGGGGGGTACCAAACGGTATATGGCATCGGCCATCCAAGCTCCGGCTTCTGTGGCAAGTCGCCGCCGCGAACAGCACGAAGGAAAGGCGGAGGCAAAGGACGACGAGGCGCCCGGGTCGAGCTTCCCTCGCCCCCTCCGCCGCACATTCCGTCGGTGTCGCTTCCACGCCCACACCCTCCTCTTTTTTGCGCGGATCGGGAGGGCGGCGATCTCTGCCCCCGTCCATGCTTCGCGTCCCCTTGGCGCTGGGCGCCGTCTCCCGCGTTTTCTTTTTCGGGCGCGCCGTCTGGCTTTTTCGCTTCTTTTCTCTCTGTGCGGGGGGTCCTCTGGTTTTGCGCGACCGGGGCTGTGAGGCGCCTCTGGCTCTGCAGCTGGTGGTGGTGCTGCTCCTGTCACTATGTCACTGTGTCGTGGGGCCGACGTGCGCGGTGGCCTTCCTCGGCCCATCCTCCCGTGACGCACGGCGAGGGCGACACTCGCCACGGTTGCGAGCGCCCACCCTATCCACCACCTCACTCCACCCAGAGGCGCCAGCGATGACAGCAAACAATTAAATAAAATCCACCGTATATGAGCCAGAGCGCCGCTGCGGGCCGCCCTGTCCAGCGCTGCACGTGCGCACGCGTCTCGCCCGAGCATCGCGTGGTCCCGGGTTCGAGACCCCGGGGGGGAGGGGGGGGCCTCCTCGGCCTCCTCGGCCTCCTCGGCCTCCTCGGCCTCCTCGGCCTCCTCGGCAGCCTCGGCTGCTTGGAGCCCGAGGAGCACGCGGCGCGGATCGTTTTGCTCGCGGCCTCGCCGACGCGCCGCTCCGCCGGCACGCTCTGCGCCCGTCGGTGGCAACCGCGGCGGCTCTTCTCGCCATGCCAGGCGTTGAGCGCCAGCCAGCAGCAGGCGGCAGCAGCCCGCCGGCAGCTGTACTGCGGTTGGCCCAGCCGCAACGGGTGCTCCGGCCCGAAGGGCGGGCAACTCACGCCGGCTGGGAACTACAGCTAGGTGGTGTCTGTGCGCGGCGGCGGCAGTGGGCAGAGCGAGGGCGAGCAAGGCGAGCATTCAAGTGCGGCCGTTCAAAGCTCGGCGGTCGCTCTTCGGGCATGAATCATACCTTACCAAAAAATCCGAACCACTTTCTCCGTTTTTATTGTTGTGGATGGCTACGGCGCCCGGCGGCAGCAGCAGCACCGCCATCGACCTCGACGCAGCCCCGCCCCGCAACAGGACTGCTGGCGCCCCGATCGACCTCGACGCATCTCCGCAGAGGCCAGCCGCCGCCGCTGGAGACCAGCGCGCTGCAAGTTCGCCGAGGACTGGACCTGCAGTGGGCGCACCGAGCGTCGTGTGCCTATCCTCCGGCGAGGACACTGACGACGAGTGCCGCGAGGTGCTAGCGCCACCACGTCCGGCGCCCGGCCCCGGCGGCGGTGGCGGCGGCGGAAGCAGCGGCGGCGACCTGGACGGCGAAGGGCTGGTTGTGACGGGCACATCCGGCGGGCTGCT